GAATACATATATATTTAAGCAGAGAGATTAGGTAGTTGTAATTAATAATTCATTTTTAGCTGTATAGTTTAGATTAATGTTGAGATGTCGAGGAGATACGGAGTGGGATGTCGAGGAGATAGGGAGTGGGATCATCCCAGATCTGATCTTATTGTGTTAAAATATACTTTGATTTTTCTACCAAAAAAATATATATATACTTTGATTTATTAAAAACTAAAAGAGATTTTTCTGTATAATCCGTGCTTTTAAGGGTATAGTTATTGTAATTTATAAATATGTTTAGGGTTGCACACTTTTTAATTTTTTTAAATATTTATTTAATTTAATTTACTTTAATTATTAAAATAATTATAATTATCATTATTAATTAAAATAATAAATATTTATTCATTAATAAATTAAAATTAATTAATTATTTAAAAAACTATTTAACTAATCATAATATTTTATTAAATAACAATAACGACACCCAATTAATGGGGCTTAATTAATTTCCTGATGTAGATGAAAGAAGGCACGTTGCGGTGGGCCTTTGACTGTGTACTTTATCTGGTAGGCTCCACTAGTTTCATCATCGAAGTAATAGAAAGCTTACCACAATAAAAGCTAAAGGCCCCATTGCATTAATATTAAGGATAATAATAGAATGAATGATTTTATGGGACAAAAATAAAAGATAGGTAAGGTAAACTCAAAATACAGAATATAAAACAATCAATTTGATTTTGCTACCTAAATCTTGTTTTCGTCTCATAAAATCTTCCTCCTATCATTATCCTATTATTAATCTTTGTTGACAATTAAAAAATAAAAAAAGAATATACGCACTTAACCCTTCGAATTCACTGGTGTTTAAGCATATTTAAGTATATTCTTTCTTTTCGGATAACAGTTATCTAGCTCTTGTATGTTTAAGAAAGAAAAACAAAAAAAAAAGGTACAGTAGGTGTGATATTTGCTTACTATTGGACTCCTTTAATTCTTGCTTGATGCAGCACACTCTCAGAAAAGATAAATTTGCTACCGATTTTATGGCGTTCATTGGGCATAAGCTCGAATTGGTTACAATTTTCTTTCCAATCCACCAATGGGTATTAACATGTCATTGAGGTGATTGTACTGACGCCACGTTTTCCTTAGATATTAAACTTCAATAGCTTCTGCTGTACCACAGAAACAAAGGCCCCATTATTAATAAAAGGTTAAAACTCCTTTTTGGTTCCTGAACTATTGTACGGACCCTGATTTGGTCCTTGAATTAAAAAAATCTCTGATTTGATCCCTACTGTTTACCATTTTTACGCCGATTTGGTCCTTCCGTTAAAATCTCACCGTTATCTCACGACAATTTAATGACATGTCAAACCTTTGAGCCATGTCAGTTGTATAAATGAATAAATAATGATATGGCAACGTGACATGTCATCTCCTTGCCCAACCCAACAAAAGTGGGACCCACCAAAATTACGAATTTGCCATCATCTTCTTCCTCCAGCAAACAAACCTAGCACCAAACAAAACCAGCAC